TGGTTGAAGTTGGAGAGTCTATACATGACGAAGTCTCTGACTAAGAAGCTTCTTCTGAAACAACGTCTTTTCGCTCTAAGGATGCATGAAGGTACACAACTTCAAGATCACCTTGATAGTCTAAATTCCATTATGTTAGATCTGAGGAATATAGATGTGTTAAGGTGGAGGATGAGGATGCGGCACTGATTTTGTTGGTATCACTGCCTAACTCCTATGAGAACTTTGTTCAATCATTCATAGGGAGTAAGGATACAGTGAGTTTGGAGGAAGTCAGGTCGGCACTTCATAGCAGGGAGTTGTGTCACAAGGCATCTAGTTCTGATACAGATGACCAAGCTTCTGGGTTGTTTGTAGGTGGTGGAAAGAACTTTGGGAAAGACAAAAGGTCGTTTACAAAGGGTCCTAAGCCAACTGATATTTGCCATTATTGCAATGAAAGAAAGCATTGGAAATCAGATTGTCCTAAGAAGAAGAAGCAAGCTGATTCCGCTGCTGTAGCAGAGAATGAAGCTAAGTCTGATGACGATATTGCTCTATTTGCTCATGGAAAGACACATTCTGGGGATGTGTGGGTTCTAGACACATGAGCGTCATATCATATGTGTCCAAGGAGGGAATGGTTCTCAGAGTATGAGGAAGTGACTGATGGCAAGATCAAGATGGCGAATGACTTTGCTTGCGATATTGCAAGAATCGGTTCCATTAAGCTCAGGACACATGGTGGTAGAGTGTGCACATTGACCAGAGTTAGACATGTTCCAGCTATGTCCAAGAACTTGATCTCAACTAGTCTTTTGGATAGCAGAGGTTTCAAGTATTCAGGTGGAGATGGAGTTCTGAGTGTCTACAAGGGTTTAGATGTGATTCTGAGAGGTTTCATTCATGGTACTCTGTATTTGCTAGAAGGTTCTACAGTTTCAGCAAATGGTCTGGAACTTTGTTCATATGAGTTCAATCAGTTTTGTAAGGATGCAACAGCTACAAAGCATCTTACAGTCAGAGATACACCACAGAAAAATGGTGTAGCAGATATGAACCAAACTTTGCTGGAGAAAACGAGGTGCATGTTTTCTAATGAAGGTTTGGAGAAGAGGAATTGGGATTTTGACAAGCAGGTGGAGCTGCAGGGAGTGCAGTCGGTTGAACCGTGTCGATCGATGACTGATCAACAGTATCGATCGATGATGGATCAACAGTGTCGATCGATGACGGATCAACAATGTCGATCGATGTCAGATGTTCAATGTCGATCGACATCGGAAGAAGGGATCAAACGATCGACGTCAGATGAGTTCTCTATTTCTGGAAATCAACGTGTTGGTTTTGAAAAATGCAGTAATGCTAGAGATAAACCAAGGAGAGTTGATGTCAGGCCACCAGAGAGATATCACTTTGATGATATGGTGGGTTATGCACTGCAGGTTGCAGAGGAAGTGGACACTTACGAGCCGTCCACTTACAGAGAAGTTGTTTCTAGTTCTGAGTCTGAGAAATGGTTTGTTGCAATGGAAGATGAGATAGAGTCTCATGAAAAGAATCACACATGGGATCTGGTCACACTACCACATGGGAGAAAGGTTGTGGCTTGCAAGTGGATTTACAATTTAAAAGATGGTCAATCACCAGAAGAAGGACCAAAGTACAAATGTCGAGTTGTTGCTAGAGGTTTCAGTCAAAGAGAAGGCGTGGACTACAATGAGATCTTCTCACCTGTGGTCAGACACACTTCTATCAGAGTGCTATTGGCGATAGTGGCACGTCAGGATCTGTAGTTGAAGCAACTTTATGTGAAGACTGCTTTTCTTCATAGAACTTGAGGAGGAGATCTATATGACTCAACCTGAGGGTTTTCTGGTTTCTGGTAAGGAAGATCATGTTTGCAAGTTGAGGAAGTCACTTTCTGGACTTAAGCAGTCTCCTAGACAGTGGTACAAGAGGTTTAACAGCTATATGGTCAAGTTGGGCTACGACAGGAGTCCTTATGATTGTTGTGTCTACATGAGCAAGGTGGAGGATGGATCATATATCTACTTGGTGCTGTATGTAGACGACATACTGATAGCTGCCAAAAAGAAGTGTGATATTCAGAAGCTGAAAGAGATACTGAGTTTGAGATGAAAGATTTGGATGTTGCGAGGAAGATTCTAGGAATGGAGATCTTCAGGGATAGGGTGAAGAAGAAGTTGTTCTTGTCACAGAAGGTCTACATTGAAAAGGTTTTGATGAGATTTGATATGCTTAATGCTAAGCCTATCGATACTCCATGTGCTACAAATTTTCATCCTACCATGAGTGATGAAATGTCTGAAGGGGAAATCGATATGGTTCAGCCACGCAAGGAGCACTGGATGGCTGTGAAGAGGATTTTCCGGTACCTTAAGGGTACATCTGATGTTGGTCTTGTCTATGAAGACAAGGATCCAAGACTGGTTACTGGTTATTCTGATTCAGATTATGCAGGAGATGTGGACAGCAGGAGATCTATGACTGGTTACGTATTTACTTTAGGTGGTTCTGTTGTGAGCTGTAAGGCGACTTTGCAGTCGACGATGACGTTGTCTACAACTGAGGCAGAGTATATGGCATTGACAGAAACTGCTAAGGAGGCAATATGGTTGAGAGGATTGGTCAGTGATCTTGGTCTTCATCATGATCAGGCTATTGTGTTATGTGATAGCTTGAGTGCTATTTGTTTAGCCAAGGATCAGGTTCATCATGAGAGAACCAAGCATATTGATGTGAGATACCATTTTCTGAGAGATGAGAAGAGGATTAAAGTGAAGAAAGTAAGAACAGCTGATAATCCTGCAGATATGTTCACTAAGCCGGTTCCTCACAGCAAGTTCAAGCATTGTCTTGATTTGCTGAACATCTCAAGCTGTTAATCTGGCCTTGAGGGGCATCTGGCTCGCAAGAGCATCTGGTCCTAAGGGGCATCTGGCTCTGAGGAGCGTCTGGTCCGACGGGACATCTGACTTCTGAGTTCAACGGAACATCTGAGGCAAAGAGAGAGTATGGTACATTTGAGCACGAAGAAGTGCATCCTGGTACATCTGATTATGGAGGATTCAAGTCAAGGTGGAGATTTGTTGAAATATGCCTTGAATCTGCATCGGTCGATCTAGGAGTCATGGATCGGTCGATCTGACTGGACACGTATCGATCGATACAAGAGCTTGTGTATCGATCGATATTAAGTCAAATCCGAGAAAATATGGAAAGTTTCATTAAACGTTTTCATATATATTTAGGGTTTTACCCTATTCTGTAACACGAGTTGTACTCTGAAAAACTAGTCTCCACTAATAAAGTACTCCTTTTGCCCGTGGATCAAACCACGTTAAATCTTTGTGTCTTTCTTTTCTGTTCATCTATTCTGTTAATTTGTATCTTCTCACATCTGTCACAACAGAAGATCAATCAGATACTCTTTTATGATAAGCCTTGAAGAACTCAGGAAAGGTTATTTTCAAACTTCTTCATTACCTTTTTTACCATACAATAGGCTCCTCAACTATCTATTTTCTTTCTCCTTAGATGACAATCTTATCGACCTCTGGATCAAACTGACCATAATCCTCAAATGGGATGTCATTGCCTAAACATCAGCCAAATCAGGTATCAGAGATTGAAGCAGCTCTCTTTTCAAAGACCAAATTATTTTATTTATTTCTTAGAAACAAAGAAGGGCAAGGAACCGGTTATGAGAAATTTGTAACTGAACCGCACTAAACCAATGTAAATTAGATCATCTCCAATAGTAGATCTATCATTAGAGTTCTAAATCAATTTTTAAGTGAAAATAATTAAATTAAAAAATTTAGATACTTGTTTAATTTTAACTCCTCCAACTAGATTTGGACCCGCGCAACCGCACGGGTTTTGTTTTCATATATATATATATATATATATATTTGTTTTATATCATTAATAACGTTAGTCATATGTTTAAATGCTTACATAACTATTACAAACACAATAGTTTTATAGCTTGTATGTTAATATCAATTGTTTCTTATTATATATTTATCTAATTGGCTTTATATTTAATTATTAATATTAATATATGCATGAAAAATCATATTTGAAAATTATTTTATATATAATTTATACTAAATTATTATTTGAGTTTCAATGTTAGATTGCCGTTTATTAAACTTTTTATGTTTATAAAGATAATATGATATTATAAAAGTTTAAGATATATTAATTTTATACATGTATTTATAGTTACTAATGTTAATCCGTTCTACCTATATATTATATATTTTTAACATTAATATTTTCTATTTATTAAAATAAAATTGATTAATTTATCAATTTAATATAATTTTATAACATTCACTTTATTATAATAATTTCATTTAATTTGATAGTTTATGATTATTAAATAGATAAAAAGAATAAAATATGTTTTCATATATATATATATATATATATTAATGTATAATTATTTTCATTACTAATTCGAGATTTTATTCAAGTTATTAATTAGTGAAATATTTATATAATGTTTTTAAAGTTAGATCTTCCTAAAATCTTTTCAACAGATTTTTAAAAAAGAATTAATACATATTTCTATTAAAATAAAAAGATATCAAAGATATTATGATTGAAGTAGTTACAAAGAAATGAAATATATTTAATAATTTTTTTTTGCTAATGGTCCAGATAAAAAAAAATCACACATGAAATGAGTCATAACTTCTCTTTTAATATAATAGATGATAGAAACAATGAAAAGTTCTAAATTTTAAAAAGTACAATTAGATTTTTTTTTTACCCGAGGTGAAAAAACGCGTATTTCCTTTTTTTATTTTCATAAAAAACGCGTATTTCCTTTTTTCTAATCATATTTCCTTTTTTCTAAACCCTAGTTTTTCTATAAATATAAAACAATCGATCTCTAATCAGAGGAACGTAACAGAGAGAAACCGTTTAAGAGAGCGATTTGCAGTTATCAAAGCAAGCTTTGGGTTATAAACAAAAGATCGATCATGGACGGGATCACCTCAACTACACGAACGGTAAACTACGAGTCGAAGACTTGTGCGGTTGATTCCAAAACTCCAGTAACATTCTCCATACGAATCCGAGAAATTGAACGGCATCTTGTGCGGAATCGTAGCGTTCGGCGTGAGAATCTGGTGAAACAAAGAATCATAGCTTCCTCAACTATTGGATTCGAGATCCCATCTTGTTTTCTTGATGGTGAAAAAACTTGCAGAGGTTACGTGGCTTACTCTTTGTCGGAGACAATCATACCCACCTGGATTCAACCGTTTATTCTTCCACAAATCTGCAAAGACTCCATCACAGAGGAGGGCAAAAGAAGTGGTTTCAAGGTTGAAGCTCAAGTTGAAGCAGTCAAAGAAACTTATTTCAACAACTGTACTGACTTGAACGATTACGATTCTGAAGGTCGAAAGATAGCAGCAGAGACGGATTGTCCCATCTGTCTACAAGATTTTGGTAAGAACATCATCACCAAGTTGCGCTGCTGCGACCATAGTTTCCACCGGAGTTGTATTCTCACTTGGCTGAGCCGCAAGCCTTCATGTCCTACTTGTCGTGATGACATACACAATCCTCGACCAAAGAAATTTACACCAAAGAAGGCATATTTCGGGTAAAAAACTCCCATGATTCAGTACTTTTTCACTTTTGTGTTTTTAATATGTATTGCTTTTTTTTTTTTTAATGTAGTATAGTAAAATTTGAATGAAATTATGTATCCTTTCCTGTAAGATTTGAATCTAAATCTTAGCAGCCCCTTTTTTTTGTCTCTTTTACCTTCAGAAGTGTTTTTGATTCATGGGAAGTACTTTCTTCAGTAGCACGAGCAGCTAATGAGGTATAATATCCTCTCTTTCTTCTAATTAATTAAACAATGGGTCATAATGTTTGTTCTCCACCATAGATGAAAAAACGTTCCCTGTATGAAAACATATTTAGTAAGTATAACACAGAAAACAAGTAGTGAAATAATGAGATATATTGATTGTTGTCATTCTTCAAGAAAATATTTCAGAAAGTAACGCCAAAAGTGTGCTAAAAAAACTATTAGAAAACCAGAGTCATCGATCTAACAGATCTACAAGTGCTTTCTTTTTGTGGGCAGATCCTATCAAAGATCAGATACTTTCAAGGCATATATAGAGAGAGTGTAATGATGAGCAGCCACTGAATATTATATTAGTACAGGTCAACTTATTCTCAGTGGCCAAATCTGATTCAGTTCCAGAGAAAGAAACGATTTCTCCCATTGCGAACTCAACAAAAAGGGTTTGATACAGAACAAAAAACAAGAAACACTAGATGCTGCTGATGACTTTTCATGTGATCTTAAAGTTGTCTGTTCCTTGTTACTACCAAGAACGTGGTCAGACGTTCTTCTTTGCTTCTTGAGTATAATAAGCTTATGGACTGCAATTCTATGGAACAGAAAGGCAAGAAGAAAGAAAATTACAAGTTGGTTGAGCTGGGAGGAACCAAAGAGCTAAAACCATTTATAGAGCAGATTTCTACACATCTTTTTCAAGCTGGATTCGTGTGGCTGATCTCAATCTATTCAGCTCATAAAGCATATCTTATGTGGATGAGTTTGCAGCTAGTAATCATGTACTAGTGACTGGACTGCTTCTTTTGGCAACTATTAAGGATTTGAGGTTTCGTTCCAAATGACATTGAAAGACTTTTACAGAAAATGTGCGTTTGATTATATGGTTCTAGTGGTGCTAAAACAGGTCAAGGACAGATCACATGTTCACTGTGTTATGGTCATTATAATACAACTTCATCCAACAACTGTGCCCTTGCACTTTCAGGTTTCTGATCACAACCCCTTAGAGCTGGAGACCTGTAGTTGAAATCAACTTTAGTAGTCATGTAAGTCTCTCATGGAATGCCCTTTTGCAGTACCTGCAAGTTAAAATAACAACAGAGATTCAGAAGGCAATTCAATAACTATATAGCATAAAACTAGAGTTTTACAAGAGCAGAACAGTTGAGACAGGAACCAGAAATGAATAATCATTCCATCCTTCATAGATGCGTATGCTTAAATCAATACATACAATATAAGAAGCGGTTCGAAACAGAGACACAATCTTATCACCCTAAGCAAGATCTCAACTGCGTTGTTTTAGCCCTACAAGGTGGTGGTTGATGCGAATAAGTAATAAAGAAGACTATCTGGAAGTCATTCTCCTCAAAACTCACACCAAAAATTGGTCTCTTTGTGCGCTGGGTTTTAGTCAAAATGTTAAGGAGAACCTCTTGCTTATATTTGTCAAAAGGAACTCAACTTCTTGATCTTGTCTTTTAGCCCTTCTTCTAGTTTTTTGTTTTTTTTTTAAGTTTCCACAACCCAAAAGCGAAATTTGTATTAGGGATATAATAAGCTACAAAATACAACCGTAAAATTGAACAACTTCCTGAAATTGAACAATTGGTTCAGTGAATTCAGCAAATACTTCCAAAAATCACAATTAAACAGATTAAACCATGGTTTGCAACAATGGCATATACTACATTTAGGATTGAATATATAAAAAATTTCAGGAACCACAAGAGGATATATAGAACGTACATTTTCAACTAAGAATTCTGGGGTAGCATCTACCTGCACATTCACATCCCAAGTCCCCATGATCTTTCTACCATAATCGTGTGTTTTTCTCAATTTGTAAACAATAAAAAGGTTAAGAAAAAAAGTTTAAAGAACATAAGCTTACATCTCTTGACTAAGATCCGTCTTTTTTTATCAACGGACTAAGATCCTAATACAAGTGTAACAGACTAATCTTCTATTCTCACTGCAACTATGTTTAGCCCTTTAATATAATCTATAAATAATTTAATATAAAACAATAAACCTTTTCAATATTGCTAGTCGATAACCTGCGCCGTGAAAATTTATTATCTATCTATAAGTATAAAAGGTAAAAATTATAGTAACAAATATTACATGTTATGAACGACCAAACGAAATGGTGCATGTCCATAAGGTAAGCTTTGTTTTCTTTTACCTTGAGTTATTGAATGTGTGTATACTATATAAGGTAAGCTTTGTTTTCTTTTAACTTGAGTTACTAAATTTTGATCCGCGCTTCAAAAACGCAGATTATTGAATTATAAGTAAAATTTGATATGAGTTAGTATTTTGATATTTTTGTATAGTATTATATTACAAAAGCTTATTATTTTGAAGCAGGGATTTTGTTTAAAATTATAATTTTTAAATTAATTTATTTAAAATTTTGTATATACATTTTTATATAACTCTCTCTTAAGTCTAGGTATTCTATCCGGATCTAAAAAGCTGACTTGTAAATACATGTTGGTTTGGATCCAAAGTAAAGTATATATCATGTATTTTTTTGAACCCATAAGTTATGGTTTGGTCCAGATCCTACACAGAACTTTTGTTGTATATATTAAGATTATATTTTGGATAAAATTTGGGTTTTTTTAGACTCGAAGGATTCGGCTTGAAAATCGTTACGTACCTAATTCAAATACCCATATGCAATATTTTTTTATTATATTTTGTATGCAATTTATAGAAGTTTCATTTGTTAAGTTGGTGAAACTTAATAATATAGATTTGTAGAGATTTTAATAGTTTTTAAAATTTATCTTAAATAATTTTTTTAATTATAATTCTTATTAATAGTACAAATTTGTAAATATTCTTACAATAATTCTTTCTAATAGTATAGATAGTTATAATTCACCAATCATTTAATAATGGAAAAATAAAATCTATGAGAAATACATATATTAAACTAAAGCTTCACAATGAAGTGAATGCGTGGATTTCTTAATTTTTGGTCTATATAAAAGAGTTTACTTCTTATGTTCATAGAAGTTGGTACTTAGTACATAAATTATTATACGATTATGTCTCAATATAATGGGTGATGTAAGATTAGAACATGGACACTGTAATTTGCGTGAATCAATAGTGGATTATATAGTAACTAAAGTAAATAAAGCTAATATTATTTTAAATGATATTCTAAAGATATTATGTAGATGTATATTGATAATCTTCTAGGGGATATTAATGATATTATATATAAGAATCTTACATATAGGAACTAACACAATTAAAAGATATTTAGAAAGATTATTTAGTTGGTCTATGTAGATTAATAAATAGGTCCAAACAACATTTTTAAGTAGATTTTTTAGGATTTCTTCTCTTTTAATAGTATTGATTTTTTTTTGTGTAATTGAAGTATAGATCATGGAAGTTAATTTAAGCAAAGACCTATATAAAGTTAATTATGAATTAAAACAAAAACAAACATAAGAGTAAGCCCTTCATGAGTGTTTTGCTTGCGAGATCAAATTGGTAACAAAGGTTAAGGAAGAAAATTGTTATGAGTAGATGTATTCAAGACAACCTATTTATATACACGATGAGGAGGAATTCAAATGATAAGATCGTATCTGATTAATTGCATAACGTATTTACGAATTAATTTACTAAAACCTGCGTTCTAAGATTATCTCCCAAATTTCTTTAACACGCCATGTACCCAACTGATTACGTAACTTTCTGTAAATAAAAACATTTCATCAGTAAACTTACTTTACATACAGTTACGGATCACACAAATTCAGCAATGGAAAGAAAAATATTTAATTTACATATGTATTGTCAAATTTGAATAACAACAACTCTTTAAAAACGAATATGATTAATTTAATCAAGTCACCAATGATTTTATATATGTTGAAAAGAAAACAAATATAGTATAATCCCATCAAATATCAAATATGTAAATATTTTTTACCTGCAGAAGTGTTTTGAGCAGCCAGTGAACTGGTGAAAGCAATCTTTTGATTAACTCAAAATTGAAAATCTTCTATAGTTGCATTTTGTGGAATGTGGTAGTATACAATGTATGTACAGGCAACAATCTCTATGCTTTTGTTCTTGGAATTAGTAATGAATATAATTTGATGTGATTAAAGACATGGTTGAAATAAGGACCAAATGTGGGTATATACCTAAACATACTCATCTAACTCTGGTGAAATAACTGGTTATGCCAAACATGATTTCTCACTTGAATCATTTTTGTTGTGATAATGTTCATATACAAAGCACGATTAGTCTGGGGTTTTCGACAGGTCGACCTACCAAAAAAAAATGCATCTCTAAGCCGTTCCTCACAAAGCAAATCTTTCACGTGCCGTAAATTAAAGTTACGTCACAGCCACCAATATATAATTTCAAATCTACCTCACAAGTTAACACCTAGTATCTGTAAATCTTGACTACTAAATGAAGTTATTTTACTATATAATATATTTTTGTATGTGTAAGCTGACGCAGACAAACAACTTGCCTGAATATTAAACTGGAAGTTTATACAAGAAGTCCAATTCGATTCAATTTTGAAGTCTACAACTATTTTTCAATTAGTGAAAGTGCAACTTTCTCTAGTGCATACCTCGTTTATTAGTGTGACCTTTTCTACTATTCGGGTTCAAACAAGGACATTCGCTTAAAATGTCATCAATATATTATTAAAAGTTATAGTGTTTAGCATTTCACATCTCTTTTCTTCATGTACGTTGTTTAACTTGTTTTATAGGTATACCAACATTCCTGCTC